TAAATATGATACATAAATACAGTATGCATTCTAGCTTACCTGTAGAAAGAGAAGAACAAAATTTTTTCAAAAGCATGAGGAAAAACTTGAAAGTTTGAATCCTGTCAACAGCAAGCCGTATATCATCCAAAAATTTATGTTGGTCTATTGACAAAGTAGACACCATTTGGACTAAATGTGTATCCCATTTCTCATTCAGCTGTAGCAACATTTCAACAGTTACAGAACCAGATTTGAGTTTACTCTGAGAGTCTTCCAAAATATCTTTTATATGCTGGCATATATTTTGTGACTTGCTAGATGATGTGTTTGTTACTAAATTGCATTAATTAATTCCTAGCCATTTTTATCAACTTACTTAATGCTGTTAGTATGGTGGGCCACATATCCCATTCAAGTAGAGTGCCAATGCTATCTGGCAATGAGGGAAACCTCATATCAATATAATTTGTCAAAATATTCTGAGTTTCTGATGATCCCTTTGCAAGAATTTGCAGCTCCTACAAAGTAGAGAAAATTAATGTAAGTATAGTAACAAACATACAGCAATAATCTACCATATCATTAGCTGAAGAAACATGTTTAACTAAGCAATCTCTTGTGACATCAATTATATCATCATCAACTGAGAAAGACACAAGCCTTTCAAATACTTGCACCATTAGCTTAAAATTTTTTATCTGCAAAGCATTAAATATTATGTAGATTTATCATAAAGTACCTTTTCAAAGCGATTAAAAATTATATTTTGTAAAATTTCTTTCCATTCTAGACTTTGATCATCAATAGAATACATATCAACCCAAAACTGATGATTTATACATAACAATTATGATAATAAATACATGGTGAATTAAACCTGATATTCCTTTTGAGTATCTTTCTTACTTCCACAGGAAAAATTCTCACCATTATGGACAATAGTCCAGTTTTCAACGAAAGGAACAGTATGCTGCAGTTCTTCTTTCTTTTTATTAGTTTCCAATTTATTCATTGTATGTAACAACAACTGAAATGATGCTACAAAAGCATCTCTTCCGTCTTCATTTAAAGAATGTAGGGTTCTTGTTATAGCACTCAATGAGCTCAAAAGAAATTGCAAATATTCCAATGCATTTGAATCAAAGCTATAAAAATAAAAAATATGACACAAATTAGGTATAGGCTGCTCTTGTCTATTTTATCAGGCATGTACTGCTTTAATAAAATCATTCTTAAAATTGGTTTGATATTATTGTTTCAAAAAACCTGAGAATTTCTTTCTTTTCACACAGAAACAATATTACCGCAGTAATTTCTCGAACTTTTTTCTAAACAATTAGATAATATATACTAGCTGCTTCATATAACAGCAAATATACCTGAGATTGATATCTTGGGCTCCTTAGTTTAATGCCCAAATCAAGAAGTACAATTCGAATATCAACTAAATTCACCAATTGAATGTAGTGACCAATTTCAGATGACACTTTGACCAGCTGAATTTGAAGTAAAGGATCTCCTTTAATTTGAACTGGCTTCAACTGGGTGATTGCATCAATAAAATCACTTTAAAAATGCAATCAGGTCCAAGATAAACATCAATGATAATACCTGCTATCTACAGTTAAGGGAAGAATCCTTTTGTCTTCCCCTTCAATCATTTTACAAAGAGAGTCAACAGTGTAATCAATTTGAAAAAAAGGAAAACTGGGAGATTCTTCATAAAACCAATGATACAGAGGCAAAACTTTCAATATAAGTGTAATGCTTTCTGGGTTTGCTTTTAATAGGCATGATCGTATAGAACCAATCATAATTCTAATGATGTAAAGTAAGAATATAATTTTAACAGACATAGCTTACTTGGGACTAGTTATTGCACTTTTAATACAGTCAAACTCAGGGCAGCAAGAATTATCTTCATCATAGCTTATTGCCATTGTTGATAACATCCTTTTTATTACTTTATCTGATAATGTAACAGATTTTGATATTTTAACTAGACAGTGACATAAAATTAAACCAGAAAGAATTTTTGAAGGTTGTTTAGATAATTCAACCTCCACCAATAAGCATTCCAATTTATCTTGAATTATCTGAATAATAAAAGTAAAAGTAAAGCTTAACTCTAATTGCATACTTTAGAAGCATTAGAGTCATAAAAATCCATGTCTTTTTTATCTACAATATTAGCTTTTCTAGCATTAGACAAAGAGCTATGCACAGATAATATCTTTTCATAAACTTGATTGACATCTCTTATTTCACACTGTTCAATAGCATTAAATTCTCTTCTCAGATGAGCTTCAGCACAATACTCTAAATTATGTGCTGTATCAGGTACTTTCAAAGACTTTCCTTGCCAAAACAATAATTTGCTAAACATTCCCTGATCACTATCTACTTGTTGGGGATAAATGCAACTATCAAAAATATCTTTCCTGTCAACGTATCGTGGAACATCTATCCTTCTAAAACAATTATCAACTTCATCATTATTAGGCTTGTTTATGAAAATGAACTCCACAGGAGTGAGCTGAAAAGGAAATATTAAGTACTTATAGTACAACTTAGTGAACTCAAGGGTCTTTTTGACTGCTACAGCAGAAGAAAATATTGAATAATCATGTTCATTTCTAATTTAAAAGTAATATATGATGCAACAAAAAATTCTAACCTTGAAGGGATAAATTCTAATTGCAAAAGTAGATCACCATGATTAGGAACATGAAAAGCCATTGCTATGTCAGGCTTGATCTTTTTATCAATATTCCAATCTTCTTTCCTTACTATGACCTCAAAGTTAAAAGTCATGTGTGTACTTGATAAGTCATCCCTTTATAAACTGATTCAATAGCATAAATAAGGTAATATAAATCACCTTTGTGGCCTTATTAAGTCTTCCAATTCAGTAGAACACTACAAAATATTTAAGATATTAATTTCTTCAAAATGCAACATACCACAGCTACTTTGCCTATACAAAAAATTACATGCACATGAGTAAGTTAACACTGATTGGTATATGCATACTAAATACAGAGTTGGCAGACACAGCTTCTTGTATTAGTTCAACCAGTGAATTCACTGACAATGATACAGCTTCCAAATGCTCTGCACTGCTCTCAAAGGCATATGATACCAGTACTTCCCTAAATTTATATATTTCTGCCTGAAGATTTTCATTCACAAAACATGAAAAATTTAGTACATCAACAATGGCTGTAATAGATGCATCTTCATATTCTTTTACCTATTTTATTAACAATAATATTATGATAATATAGGGAGGGATTTACTTTTTCATAGCGTTCATTAAAAGTATTAAATGAAATCTCTAGTTGCTTCACAAAATTTAGACTGTGTAAGCATT